TCTTGGCTTTGGTTGGTTTTGAGCTTCCTTTTTTTGTGGTGACTATTCTAGTGTCATTTATGATATGAAACAAGAATGAAAACATTATTAGGACAAGTAAACATAAACTACAATGCATTAGAATAAACTGCAATGCAGAAAACAGAAACTGCAATGCAGTTTGGTGTTCTTTGCATTACAGTTTGTGTAAAACAAAAACTACAATGTAGCACCTAGTAACCATCATGCTAGAACAAGTAATAAAAGCATTTCAAAACCCAAAACATTGCATGCAAGCATAAACTCAAAACCCAAAACATAAACTACATTGCATAAACCCAAAACCAAAACTCAAAACATAAAGGACATTACATGCAAGCATAAACCCAAAATACAAAACAAGTAACAAAAGGTATTCAAAACCAAAATTATAAAGGAATACAATCAAATGAGCAACTAGAAACCAATAAAACATACAAAACAGTGCAAACAAACAATGCATATGAAATCAAAATTGAACAACTATGCAGTGTTTGATATTGACACACAATCTGAAGCAATTAAACAATCAATCAAATCAAAAATGAAGGTAGAAACTTCAATGCACTATCCTAAAAACACATGAATTAAACCAAACATAATGGAGTATGAAAAATGAACAACATTAGGACTAGTGAGGCCAAAACCCAAAACACAAAACATAAACTACATTGAATAAACCCAAAACATAAACTACATTGCATGCAAGCATAAACCCAAAAACTACTGTGTTATAGTGTGCCTTCCATGTGTTTGTTAAGATGCCCAAACCAAAAGTAGTTATTAATCCAAAGAGTCATGCACTTTTTCAAATGCAGAATCAATAATACCTAAAATTCCTAAAATTGTTATGTAGTTTGCTAAATAGGCGAGAAGATGTTAGAAAGGAAGGCAAATGTGTTAAACCCATTTTTTTTTTTTAGGGGTCTGATGTGTTAAGCTCATTAGGCACTACAATGTAGTTTCTAATTTAGTGAGGGAGTGAGAGAGAGAGTTTCTTACATAGTTTCCAAATGCGTTGCAATGTCTTTTTGTAGATGTCTGCTTTTCAGAGTTTCTGATTTTTTTTTTCGATTTCAAAGAGAAATTTGAGAGCAAAATGGTGAGTGTTTTTGCGATGTTTTCAGAGTGAAGTGACGAAGAAGAAATGAGGGGAACGCGTTTGAAGTCGTAGCCTGAGTTCCGATTTTGATGTCGTAGCAGTTTTTGTTGTCGTTTTGGGCTTTGGCTGTAGGAGTTGATGTTGTTTGAAAGTGGAAACTGATGTTACTTGTGTTTAGCTTGTAGGAGTTGGGCTGGGCTCACAGATCAGTGGACAGCTGGAGGTTAACCTCATATGAAATTAAAGAATTATTTATAATGTATATATATATAAGCTGTAATGGCAATCATTGTTATTTGTATGATTTGTTAGTTGTAGTTTTGTAATTTGACGCTAATTTATTAGTCATTGACCTCAAGTAAATTATGTGAAATTAGTTTCCTATCTATCACAATATGGAACTCCCTATTGATTTTAAATTGAAGCTCCCTAAAATATATGGAGTGCCACTTGGAAGGACAATTTTAGAGCAACCTTTTTCTATTGGATGTGTGTTTTCATCAACAGTTCTATTTTGTTTTTCAATTTGTTGTCTTTATGTTTTCGTTGTTGTTTCCCTTCTCCTGGTTAGAATGGTTTGCCTTGTAATTGAATTTCACATTCGTAGCCACATGTAATTTTTTGTACATGCTTATGAGTTGGTGAAAGCTTTTTGTTACTTTAATATGATAGGCTCCTTTTACAATGAGCATACTAAAATATTTAAATTTTAGGCTTTATAGCAAATTCTTTTTGGCACAGTATCATCGTAAGGTGTAAAATTTATTATAATTGTACTTAAATTATATGGTTTAGTAAATGCACATGAAACCAAATCAACATACTCACATCGACAAACAACCACCATCAATAAACCCGCATTATCAAGTCCTTAATCTACCAAAAAATCATTTGAGAGGCAAATTGACAATTATGACATAGTTTCGGAGGGTAAAATGACAGTTTGAGTGATCATGTAGGTCTTATTATGAGGCAAGAAACATGTTTGCTTTTTGTCATGGCAGAGGACATGCTTACCTTAGTTGTGAGGTATATGACATGTTTGCTTTAGGGGCATGGCCATCATGTAGTGATCATGGATAATATTGACCTTAAATAACTTCAGCCCCTTTATTAATTATAGCAGCGGACGTCCTTCTTGGGATGTGTGGATGTGAAGCATGCTAGCACGGTAACCTTTGCAGTTGTGAGCACTGACGGACCCACAAAGGCACAAAAAGGTGCAGTTGCACCTCCCTTCGCCCGTAAAAGCCTTAGAGGTACCATATTTGCCCCTCTACTCTAGTGCCTACCAACTGCTCGAGAAAATGTCTGAAAGATGTTCTTGTTTTGCTCGAGAGATTGTCTTTTATTTTATTTCTGCTTGTTAGCTCGCGTGCAAACTCACTTTAGGGAGAGGCGGAGGTGTTTTGCCTGAACCTATCATTGTTTTGCAAATTTCAGGTATTGAGGAAGTGTCTAACATAGGTGGTGCGCGAGGCAAAGAAGACGACCTTCTTTTTTCTCAAATAATTTGACACAAACAGTGTCGTTTGCATTATTGTTGTGATTCTTTTTCATTAATGAAGCAATCTGTTTTGGCTTTGTGTTGTAAAATCAAACAGGCATTTTCAATTGTTTTTTAATGAAACGGTGCGATTGTGTTTAAAAAGGAATGACCACTTTTTTGTTTTAAAATAAGACAGCACACCTTTCTGAAATAAACCATGCTTGCTTATAACCAAGGTCTAAAATATCGGTGATATCAGAAATATTGGTAGTCCAAAAACACGAAAATTTCTATGGAAATATCGAGATATTATCGATATCGATAAAAATTGAATAAAAACCACGAAAATTGTAAGAAAAACTTGGAAATTTTTATTGAAACTTTGGAGGATGCTTATTTAGTCAATTATCTATTAGTTTATCACAAAAAATTGGAAGGAAATGCAATGTATGATGGATTTAACTAATTTAAGTTGATTATATAGCGAGCTGACAAACACTGTGAGTGTAGAAAATATGTAGTAATTAATGAAAGAAGATTAAACACACCACAATCATTTATATATAATGATTTACTACAATATTTTACATTTTATACATTGCATGGTAAGATACATAAGTGACTTAATACCACATAGAGTTCCTATGAGGTTCAAATTTTTCACTATCTTCATCATCTCTATGTGTAGAGTAAGTGTATTGTGAAGAGCAGTCATCAAATGATAAATCCCCAAAATAGTTTTGCATGTAATTGTTAACATGCCACCATATGGATCCGAGATTGGTTGACGTTATCCATGAGCAAAATCATTTGAAGATTGAGTCTCAGATTCTTTCCATGAGCTACTCGATTCCGTCCCAAAAGGAATGGGATATGAAGGGTAGGGAAATGGTTGGTTATGAGTATAATCATAGTTCCTTGAAAAACAATAATGAAACAAGTGTAACAAAATGTGATGGAAGCATATAAAGTCTTTAATAATAAATTTAGAGACAATAAATACACATGTAAGTGACCAAATAAAGAATAGAAAAATTAAAAACCACATGCTATTGACTAAGTAATTAATTGACACAATTTAAAATATAATATCACCAAAAATTTGGAATAGATAATAATAAACATGCAAATTAAATAACAATAATGAATGAGAATAACTTACTATAAACTTGCGGGGAAATTGAGGTTGATAGATGTTAAGAAAAATATGAGCATTATGTTTTGTTTTGGAGAGATATTGAGAAATAAGGGACGGCATGAGACCATTTGATTTTATTTGTATGTATAGAAATATGACTATAACTAATTAGTTAGGTGAGTGGTTAAATGGTGGGGTAAATGAATAAGTTGAAACGTGATGAATAGTTGAAAAGTTGAAACTTGAAAAGTAGCTCGCAAGTATTACATATATATATATATATATATATGATTCTATAGTTTATAATCACAAAGTTATGACCGGAGTAGTGGTTAAGTAGCTGCAAATTTCGGAGTGGAGAAGGGTTTGAACCCCACTGTGTGCGAGAGTGTGAGTGAGTTTAAATTGTTTAATTGCTCGACCATATGGAAAGGCATATTCTTTGCCAAAGCAGTTTTCTCGTTTCACCGATAAACGAAGAAAGAACAAAAGAACAATGATATTCATTTTGAAATCTTTATAGGAAAGAGCGGATTCTCCTTGTATCCAGTACCTGGAAAGGAATTCTGTATGGCTCAGAGGTGCTTAGGGCTGGTCTGAGAGCGTGAGTGAGTTTAAATTGTTTAATTTTTGAAAGTTCATATCGCAATATTATCGATAATATCACTATATATTGACCATTTGAAGCTGCCAATTGAACGAAAATATCGTAACTGAAGTATCGAGGAAATTATCGATAAATTGACGATATATATATATATGGAAATGTGCTAAAAGATCGCTGCCCCTAAAAAACGATAATTTCGCCGAAATATCGGCCAAATTATCGATTTTTCGTACTGTGCTTGTAACAACTTTTTTATTTTTTATTTTATTTTTTTTTGCAACAAAACATTTAGATATAAGTTATTACCTACATGTAAGTGGCTTTAACCCTTTTGAATATTTGCCCGTTCCTAGAAAAATTTCTAGATCCACCACTGGTTGAGAGTATGAGTTATGTTGATGACGTGGATGATGCACTGGATCTTGGACTTCATCAAATGATTGTGACTGAGGAAGGAACACCTATCTGTCTTGGATTCACCTAACTGTCCCAGTGTTGACACTGGTGTCCTGAAACCTGGTATGGTTATGACTTTTGGCCCTACTGGATTGACCACTTAAGTTAAATATGTGGAGATGCACTACGAGTCGATTGCTACACCTGCCACATGGCTGTCAAGTTCGCGGAGCCCCTGACCTAGATTGACATGCGATCTGGTAAGGGGATTGAGAAAAAGCCCAAGTTCTTGAAGAATGATGATGCAAGGCTGGTTAAGATGATTCCCACAAAGCCCATGGTGGTTGAGACTTTCTTAGAGTATCCTCCACTTGGTCGATTTGTTGTGAGGGATTGTCCGGATTTGAAGTTTGGGAAGAGATTGCGGTCGGGCTATGCGAAGAGATTGCGGTCAGGCTTTAGCGGCAGAGGATCTGCCTCATGTGGAGCCGGGGCTTGTGAGAAGGCAGTTGGGCTACGCCTAGAGTGACCGGAAATGCTAGGGTCTTAAGGCCGAAAATGCTGGAAAATGGAGAATAATCTCGGCCGGGTTTTTAGGCAAAGAGATGTGGTCAAGCGTGTTGGCTAGAAGTATGTGGCCATGCAATTCGAATGCAACTGGAGACTAATCTCGGTCGGGTTTTGCTGATTGGGAAGGTGGAAGATTTCGGCTGGGTTTTGGAGGCTGGGATCGTGGAAGATCTCGACCAGGTTTTAGAGCTGGAAACTTAGAAGAGCCCGGTTTTGTTGAAGCTTGGAGCCCGGTTAAATGCAGCCGAGCTGCATCGGGGGGAGCTGGGCTTTGCAAATGCAGCCTGACAGCTTGAACTTGGCTGAAGGGTTTACGGCCAGGTTTTGCTCAAATGGGGCTGGAGAATGGGGCCGGGTCTTTTCGAAATGGTGCTGGAGTTGGCGGCCGGGTATTTTGGACTAGAATTGTTACGGTTTGAATGTTTTGGGTTTTGGAAGGATTTTATATTAGCCCATTTTAAATATATACATATATAAGATTAAGAGGGTTTGGACAATGGAACCTAAGTGGCTAGCCCTGCCTATATATGTATGTATTGTAAAAGTCATGTCATGTGCGGCCGGTGACTTCGATAATATTTAATACATGAATATACATATATATATTAATGAATATTAAAGATTAAATGAGTTTCCTCCGAGGACCAATTTTGGATGCTCCAGGAATTCGAAAGTTATGAAGGGCGTCTTCACACCATTCCAAAGATTGAAGTTCCAAACCCAAGACACCAATTCGAGCCCAGGATTTTCGGAGGATCACATTCATGTGACGGATGCCTCACAAGGAAAGAAATCAAGGAATTTGATAATAACTCCGAGTGTTCCAAAGCAAGGAAGAATCGTGCATATCAGAATATTTCAATCAATGCAATCCCACGGATTTAGGGGGCTTCGAAAGGAAAGATTTTTAAGAAGAGTTGACATTTGACAATTCAATGGCCAACCCATGGGCTGACGAATGCCCTATATAAACCTCACCAAGCGAAAACAAAAGACACAACATCAGACAAACAAATCTACTTTTCGTCTTGCACTTTTCTTTTCCTAGACTTAGGATTTTACTTTTCAAGCACCTAGTGTAGTGAGTTCTTCCTTTTTCTAGTGTAAGTTTATAGTTTGCTTGTCATTTAAATTCGTGTTCGATTTATATTTTTTGTCATTTAAATTCAAGTTTATTTCCATTCCTTTACATTTCATTGTTATCGCACTTTAATTAAGTTTAATTTCAAGTTTGTTTTAGTTTATCGTTCTTATCGTTCTTATCACTTTTACTTCATTCTTGCTTTATTTATCGCTTTGATTTATTTTATCTCACTTCAATTCTTGTCTTTACGTTTATACGCATATTTAGTTTAATTGCATTATTTTTACTTAAGACCCTAAAAATCACAAAAACATCCATACGAAACTTAACCATCCTCAAGCCCGAGAAAGTGAAAGAATCTAAGTCAAGAGGAGATTACTTGCTTGGCCAATCAATCGTTTGCTCAAAAGTTAGAAGCGCAACACATCCATCTATTCACATTCCATTCAAGCCCAAATTCAGGGCTTGATGGTGGCACGCCTCGCTCTCAAAAGAAGAAAGACCAAAACTTCCTTCTGTCAGCCGCCTCGGCCGAAAAGAGAGAAACAGAGACATGCGTCAGACTGTGGCCGTGGGAGTCATCAAGAATGTGGATAAGAAGGATCTTACTGGAGCCAAGGTCACCAAGTCTGCAGCCAAGAAAGGCAAATGACTTGTGCGTTTCGAGGTTTCAACAAGTGATGGTCGTACTGCCCATGACTCTGTTTACATAAATTGCGTTAAAATTCTGGCCAGATCTTCAACTGTCATGTGTGCAGAGTTAAAGCCATTGAGATTTAGTCATTGTATCTAATGTTGAATCAACGCATTTACAATGAATATCATAAGGCAAAAGTCATTTTTTATACCTGGCATGTTTCAAGTGTATTGTGTCCAATGTTCTTCATTGAAATGGGAGTTCAGACTAACAAATAGTTTCATGAGCTTGCTACTACTAATTAGATGAGAATATAGGCCTTTGCTTTGCATATGTTAACAAATACTCAAGTTTAAATTTATGCTTCCGAATGTATAGGTCGTATGTAACATTTTGTAGCGGCAATGACCATGCTTGTCTCAAAGCTGACATGTAAAATATACGATACATAATTTATTCTTCCGTAAGTTGTCAACAAAGGGCATTTGGTCTAGTGGTATGATTCTCGCTTAGGGTGCGAGAGGTCCCGAGTTCAATTCTCGGAATGCCCCATTTCTTTTTTATATTTTTTGTTTTGTTTTTTGTTTTCACTTTTAAAACTTGGTTTTTTCTTTTCCTCCCACACAAGAAAGAAAGCAGTGCTTTTTCCTCCTCCTGGTCTCCGACTCTCTGCTGCCTTATTTCTCTTCCAATCTCGACTTCTGGCGTCGCGGCTTTTCTGAAAATGGATCAGTCCATACAGAATGACCTGAATGCCCCTCACTCCATGGGCACCACCATCATCGGCGTCACCTACAATGGCGGCGTCGTCCTCGGTGCCGATTCTCGAACCAGCACTGGTAATCCCTCTCTCTTTTATTTTCGATACACCTAAGGACTTTGAGGTTTCTGCAAACTCTCACGTCAAGTTCAAATTTACTGGAGAAAAATATTTGGATCTTTTATTTGATTTTTCACGGAATTTGGCTTTTTGTTGTTGTTGTTGTTGATTATTAGGTGTTTATGTTGCGAATCGGGCATCCGATAAGATCACTCAGCTCACTGATAATGTCTACTTGTGCCGTTCCGGATCGGTATCTCTTTCCCTCTGGTCCTCTTTTTTCTTTTTGTTTTTTAAATTTATTGTTTTTATTTAATGCTGTTGTTCTTGTTTATGATTTCGGTTGTTTGCATACATGTGTAAAGTTGTTTTTGTTTTCTTTCTTGCTAAAGTATGTCTTGTATTGTATACTTCCGTTTAAGTATACTAACAAAATAGCTGAACTACTTCAATTAATCATATACAGAAAGATGTTAACTTTTCAATTACCTGCATAGTTGAAACAATTCTCACAGCAAAAATTCTTTTAGTAAGAAAAATCAGCAAGATAAAGTCATCTCAATGTCCTCAGATTTTGGGCATAGAAAAGGTCAGGCTTGGTGTCTGGTTAGTATTTTAGGCTTTAGCATGCAATAGAAACAAGAACAACTCAATTCGACTTGCCCTTAATCCCTATTTGGGGTTGGCCACATGGATCCTTATCAGAATCTAATTCCAATTGACCGCATAAATTTTCTTTTGCTGCTTAATATATCTAGAGCTAATATCCTTCCATGAATATTGGCAGATTTATCCTTCCTAACCACTTTTGCCTATTTCATTCTTTATCTCCCTTTTCTCTTGCTTTGTTATTTTCCTTTTGGATCATAATCCCTCAGGAACATTGTTTGACAGATAAGTAACTTTAAGGATTTTGTCTTTTGGGTGTGTTGGTTGAAGATTTTGTAGTTGCTCTACTTCTGTTGTTAATCTATTTAATTTTCTATTCTCAGGCTGCAGATTCTCAAGTTCTATCAGATTATGTCCGTCATTTTCTCCATCAGCACACGTAAGTGAATGAGCAACTTCTGGATTTACTTTAACTGTTTTTTCTTCCCTTTTGTAGTTAAAACTTCTGGATCCACCCTACGATGATTTTTTTATATATAAAAAAATCAACTTACTAATGCCTTTGGTGCATCTCTTGGATTTCATTTTGTTGCACCACCATATGTGTTTGGGCTTGCAGAATGCTTTTATTTTCTTTGAGCATTATGTTTTCTTGCTGAAAATTTAATGAAACGTTGACCATCGTGGAACTGATAAATAGTATTCAAAGTTATGCATAAAAGATTGAAGTTGTAAACATTTGAAACTTGTGGTAGTAAGCAATTTTTAAATTTTGGAAATTAAGATGCCAGATTTAAGCCTTGCACTACATTGTGTTTTTCCATTCATTAATGTTTACTACTATTTCAATTGTCATTCAAAATTCTCTCTTTTATGTAGGATACAGCAGGGACAGCCTGCAACAGTCAAGGTTGCCGCAAACCTTATCAGGCTGTTCGCATACAATAACAAGGTTTGCTTCTATTATTCTTTTATTTTACCTTTAGTTTCCGTTTTCGTCATTCAAAAATTTTGAAAACGTTGATCGTTCTAACTTCTACAAAAAATTTATCTTTGTTTAGATTCTTTTCGTTTTCCTATTTGTTTTCAAAATTTCCACTGATTTACATTTGAATGTTTGGTAAATAAACAAGATTAAATGTCATAGGTTTACAAGTACTCCATAACAAAAGTGTGGGAATTGGATTTGTTACTTTTTAATGTTAATAGTTTATCAGAAAGTACAAAGAGTTTAAAAGTGAGCTGGATAGAGGTCAAGTTATTTCTAGCAACTTCCTGGAAACTATTTGAAAATTTGTTAGACTGAGCGTGGAGTGTACTTATTATTGAAGTACAACATTTAATAAGATTGCTATGGTTCTTCAGGTATTTCCTTATTTCCTATTGTAGTTCTCATTTCTTATGTGTTATTTTTAAAATTGGTAGAATATGCTACAAACTGGCTTGATTATTGGTGGTTGGGACAAGTACGAAGGAGGTAAAATATATGGAGTGCCACTTGGAGGGACAATTTTGGAGCAACCTTTTGCTATTGGAGGTATGATTTCATCAACCGTTTCTATTGTTTCCCTGGTCATGGTTGAAGTGGTTTGAGTAAATGCACATGCACTCTGTTTAAATTTTTGTTGCCACTTGAATGCTATTAAAGTTTATGGCTCTCAACAATATTTTGTCATCCAGGATCTGGCTCCACTTATCTGTATGGCTTCTTTGATCAAGAGTGGAAGGAAGGAATGACCAAAGAGGAAGCTGAGGTATGTAGTCTTTATGTTTTTTACGGACTTTTCTATTGCTTCATTGGTGGCTTCCTTGTTACTAGTAATGTGCTAAGTTTTGGTTTGTCATCATTGTTGATATTTGTGTATCTCCAAGCTTCAGTTTTCATCGACACCAATATGTAGTTTCTTGATCGCATCCACCTTGTCCGTAGAAACTAACTTTTTCCTTGATGCATTAGTACTTTCTAGAATTGATCATTAAAGCAATGGCTGTTAATTTACTGTAGAGATGGTGGTGAAGGCAGTTTCTCTTGCTATTGCTCGGGATGGTGCTAGTGGTGGTGTTGTTCGGACTGTCATTGTGAGTTTTTCTTTTATTGTACACTATGCAATTACTTTATGGTTTGGGGAGTAGAAAGATCTAGTTCCCTGCCAATGTACCTGCAGCCATCGCCTCGCTTCTAACTTGATTCCGATTCTCAAAAAAAAAAAAAAAAAAAAAAAAAAAAAAAAAAAAAAAAACAAAGAAAGAAAGAAATAAAGTGCAAATGCAATTGTTATTGCAGTGACATGCTTCTCTTATGAGCTTGAAATTAAGCGGTATATGATGCTTACATCAAGCTATTTACTTATATAGCATATAGTAATCCCTGTGGCAACACAATCTGTTGCCTTCCTAATGCTATGGATTTGTTGTTTTGTTAATCGGAGGTTGTGAGAATTGAACTTAAACCTTTCAGGAGAACAACTTGCTTCCTAATAGTTTTTTTTTTAATTTTTTTTTTTTTTTTTTTTACTGTTTTTCCCCTGAAAAATAGTCAAGTACCTATGGACTTTATATGGTTTTCATTCTTGATGGCCGTCTATCTTCCTTCCACTTATTTTCTGGCGATTGTATACTCTGTTCTGCAGATTAATTCAGAGGGGGTGACAAGAAACTACTATCCAGGTGACACCCTTCCACTCTGGCATGAGGAGCTAGAACCCCAAAATTCACTGCTGGATATATTGTCATCATCTGGTCCTGACATGATGGTAACTTGAGGATTTTCATCTATAAGACTAGGTAATCCCTGGTGTGACCATGAATGACACACTTTCTCTTATCCTAGTTTTTGGCCGGGGGGCACTTCAGTATGTATTTGGAAAGTTTTACTTTGCAGTTTCATTACCATCTCGTACAATGAAATGATTTGATTGAACTGATCTTTTCTACCTGGTTCGATAAGTAGCTTATAAAGAGAATAAGATGGATTCTCGAACTATTGAAATTATTTGTGTGCCTCTCAAACTAGAAGATGATGCGCGGGTGCATGGATTCTTAACTGTTTGATAATTTATCTTAATTTTGAAACAATCAAATTGCCTGGACCTCGGGAAATATGTTGATACCTAGAATTGCTAGAGGAAAGACTTGAAAATTGTGAGAAGCAAAAGCCCTGTTTCATGTGGAACGAATGTGATTGGACCCTTTTGGTTCAATTTCACTTCACGTTACTTAAAACCTTTTACTCCGTTTGGATATTTTATCCCAAGATAAATTAAGCCATTGACACGACCTGAGTTCAAGTAAGAGATTGAATTGATACGGCCAGTCTTATGCGCCAAAGATCTCGTTTAGTCCACATCCCGTTCACTATAAATCTAGTTAATCCTAAATGACAGTCAATCCAATCCTGCGTATCAAACACGTATGCATGTTGCTTTGTTCAGCTTAGTTTGGTTGGCAAAAAATTTCCGTCAACATTTTGTTCCGTTGGTACCCAATTGTAGCCTTGGTCAGTCTGTTTGACACAATGTGTTTACATCAATCACTTTCGAAATTTATATAACCGATTTCACTTTTGAAATCTAATATACACTCGAAACTGAACGATAAGAATTCCATTCTACAATGCTCTTTACAATGTACTTGCGTGGGAGAATTCCAATGTGGAAGAAAAAGAAAAGTACAAGGCAAATGAATCTTAAATTGACTTCAGCACATCATCTTCGTATCGGCAAATATAAATATGCCATGCTACGTTGTTCACTTGCCCAGAATTTGGCCCTCCCTTGAACAGAACTCGGACCAACTAGAAACTCAAGAAATCTCAGACACGGATACTCTGTTCAGAACTTCAGCTTCTTTCCACTGCTTGTGTAAGCTGGGGCCACAAAGTTGGAAGCCACCCTCAACTATTAAAAGATCACTTCTCAAATTGCTTGCTCCAGCAAGTGGTAAGTGACCGGAAAGACCAAACTTTGGTCATACCGTGCTGATTACCATGAAAGATTTTCTTAAAAACATCTAAAGGCTCCTACTAGGAAGAAAAATTGTCAGCATTTTGGTCCACTACATTAGGCATTCCCACCATCTGAGCTGCTGCAAGCTTGATTTGGAAGCACAGCGTTGCCACCAAAGTCTCCATCCAAACTCATTTGCTGGACTTCTTGTGGGGACAGGATCTTGATGTAGCGAACACAGTTTACAAACTCCCTGGAATAGGCAAGACCAACAATTAAGAAACAAGTACAACGAAAAATCATGTACAAGACTCCTAATTCTTTTGGCCCTTAATGTTACGTAATAAACAAGTCTTGATGCAAAACACTGCCCAGGGACAAATATATGTCATGCTAATTTGGCACAATCGAACATTCAACTTCAGGAACTTGAAAATCTCCAGACAAGTTATTCAAACAGGAAAATTATGCGTAGATGTGTGCATGACCATGATATATTCAAAATTTTAAGCAGAAAGGGGGCTAAAAGACTTACTCCCAAGGGTCATCTCCAACTAGCAGAACATCACTCTCATGATCTACATACACAAGTTTCCAGCCTACTCTCCCTCGGTCCTCTAACTGTCCCTCTATACCAAACCTACGAGCCAGATCTTGTTTAAGCTCACCATAACCTGAATAGCGTGCAATATCTATAGATCTCCCTACAGCTCCACGTTTGTACACCTTTACAGAAACATTAGCCAAGTTAGAGCAAAAGAAAAAATAATCTTAAATACTTAAAATGGATAGCTTCATAATGTATTTTGAATTTTAATTTAAAATATCAAACCTTGGTGTATGTCCTCATTCGCTGAAATTGAGGTGCTGGAGGCCATGGGCCACTGTCCAGAAAGCCGCTATCATTTATGGTTGACTCAATTGAATTGAATGCCATATCTGGAACTCCAAAGGACTGGGAAACCATTGAAGATGAAAGTTCCTGCTGAGCATCTTTTGCATTTTCATAGTTGCCAATCATGCCTCCCGAAGAGAGATTATTTGAAAAATCCTTTCCTAACCCCACCGTGCCCTTGGCCAACATAGGATCAGGATTCAAGGGTATCCCCAATTGGCCATCAATGTTAGAACCATATGAAACATTGTTTCTATGATCTGCCTGAACTTCCCCTTCTTGACTGGCTTCTCTGAATAACATTGATTGTGGATTGAAAGACAATGGGGCATTATTCTGCTGTAAATTGACATCATTTTGAGAGATGCCTACTGAAGTTGTTGAAGATGATGTGTCCAAGTAATCTGTTTGCACAGCTGCACTGTTCAGGTATGTTTGTGCTGTAAGAATTCCTTGACTTTGATTGCTAGCAATGTTCACTGAAGGCTTAACATCAGACTTAAGCTGGAAATCTTTCAATAAGTTACCATTCGATGGCATTGTTTCTACGGCACTAGGACTCAAGATTGTGGTGGCAGACTGAGCCATGTCCTCCCCGACTAATGAGTTTCGATGGGCTCTGTTGTTCATTAATGGTTGAATTAAACTTGGACAGTTGTTTGTGGATGGTGAATTTGAACAAGATGGAACCTCATCTGTAATCCCAGACTGCCCTGCTCCTGCACCTCCTGTCATTACATTGCTTACAGCTGTAGAGAGTTGATTGGTTGTTGGGGTTGGGAGAAGTCCCATATGCCCGGACATTTCAGGCACCATAACAGGTTGCTGCTGTTGAAGCTTTGGCTGCTGAGGTGGATGAGAAAACCGAACATTAGTTTGGCTGTTATTATTCTTTGTCAGCTGCTGTGGCATTGTTCTTGACTGAGGATGCGAGGTTGGTGCCATTTGAGGCATATCTTGCATTTGGGTGGGAGTCAAAGGCCTGGAGAAGCTCTGGGACACATCTAACAGTTGCCTCTGCTGGTCCTGCAGTTGGATAAGTTGAGCAGGCTGTTGCAGTGCCTGCTGTGTCAAAAGCGACTGCTGTTGCTGTTGAAGCTTCTGGAACAGCTGAAGTTGAAGCTGATTATCAGAAAGATGTTGCAACTGTTGGTTTATTTGATCAGGAAGTTGAGACTGAAATTGCTGTTGATTTTGACCCGCAATTTGTTGTTGATGCTGCTGCTGCTGCTGCTGTTGATGCTGCGGCTGTTGCTGTTGATGCTGTTGCTGTTGTTGATGCAGCTGCTGCTGCTGTTGCTGTTGTTGATGCAGCTGCTGCTGCTGTTGCTGCTGATGCTGCTGCAGGTTCTGAGGGATGTTTCTTTGAAGATGGTTTTGACTAGATGATTGCTGCTGAAGGATACTATTAGTTTGGACAAGAGTCTGAGGTTGCAGAAGCTGGGATTGAACTTGGCTGGAGGGTAGAGATTGATTAAACGAATTTTGCCTGGGTTGTTGAGTAATATCACCCAACTGTTGCTGTCGTTGAATCATGGATGCTAATGGGTTCATTGTGGATGGCAGCTTTTGGAGTTGATCAAGCTGTTGTGCTTGCTGAGGTATTCTCTGGGCATTGAATTGTAAATTGCTCAACTGAGGTATTTGAGGCCCTGACATGCCCAACTGCCGAGAAAGATCCGCTCCAGCAAGGTTTTGCAGAGCAGAACCAGGAAAGGAATGCATGTAATTTGGCTGTATGGAGTTACCCGCAGAAGAATTTTGCTGCATGTTCATCCACTGGACTAAGCTCAGGCCAGGTAGAACCTGGGGATCCTTCATGCACATATCATCACCAAGCCAAGGCATTGTCCTCTTAAAAAGATTATCTAAATCAGAGGATTCCTCATCTGCAAAAGGAAAAATCAAAGGTGGTTAGATGTCCTTCCACTAAAATTCCAAATTCAAAATGTCATGAAGTTTTTAAGGGCCTGTTTCTGGATGGCTCACACGGAGGTATAAAACAACGCCAGGAAAAGAATAGAGAAGCTTCCAAAGGACTTAAACATCATTTATTATGTCTTGTGCCATGTCACATACAATGGATCACAGAAAAGATACTACTCAAGTCAAAAGATCAAACATTGATCATAACAAGATGAATGACAAAATCAGTCCAATCAATCCATCCCATATCATTCACTGTTTTTCTTATTTTCGTTCGTTATCAAATTCAGCGGATATCATCCACTATTACCCCAAACAGTTCTTACCAAGCAGAAAGCAATGTGCACTAAGATTGTCTTAATTGACACCTGGTCTGGGTCCAATCTAAGTAGGGAAATTTCATCCGTTTTACTTGTTAAGAGTTGCTTAAAGACTACACAAATTAAGCTGAGACAATAAAGAACTAGCAGAATTTATGGTTGCTATATTATGTCTTTTACCTGGCATTCCTGGTTGCCGAGGACGCTTCGATCTGAAGAATGGTGGGGGACAAATGAAAAATGGAGCAGTAACAGGCTCAATTTCCCACATTGACACCCGATTACGCCTTTCCCCAGCAGTTGACTCATCCCAACCAACCTATTCATAGATATGTCGGGGATTTTGGGTTATTTTACATGACCAACAAGATGAATGGAAGCAACAAGGGGAGAGAGGATAACAAGAAGTTTCCGTCACATTTACCTGCAAATTGCGCCATTGTGAGTTCTTCCATCTAACAGAATCAAGATCACTAATTCCTGTAATTGTACCCATGTACCTGTACAACAAAAGCATCTCATGTTCAATTCCAAAATTACCGTAAGATTTTTATTTGTCAAAACTGAAGGAACTGGATGAATAACTTAAAAACCCTGTCAAGTCATCAGCATCTCTAGTTTGTAAAGTCTAATTGTGAATTATCTGCCAGATCACTATTGCCAGGATTGCCAAAATCCTGAACAATAGACTGAAAGACAAGTATACAACTACCTTCTTGTTCCTGACTCTTCAGTTTCGAACATCATACGAAATCGCATCCCCAGAGATAGTTGGTTGCCACAAGCTGCCTTGTAGTACTTGGCTAATGGGATAACAAATTCTGATGGACTGGCTCTGCATATAGAAAAGAACATTTCAATACAATTTCAGAATAAATATACTGAATTCTTTTAAATAGTGACAACAAGTGATTCACTCCCCCAAACTAGGATTCTATACATGTAGAATAAAGAAGATATTTTAGAGTAAAGAATGAAAGATGTTAACCTAGGATTGTAGAACACTGTGAAGGGGCTATTATTAGCGGCAGCATGAGCTGCAGCCGCTAGAATCCCAATGTGCATACTATCACTTGATAATACTGAAGATGATAGGTTGGTGGGTTGCCTGTTAGCGCGTCTAATTCCCAAAAGAAGCTGCTGCTTCTCATCCCTGATCATGGAAAGTGTGTATCACCATAAGAGTTTGTTTTTGCACTTAATATATTTTCAAGTGCATAAGAGAGAAGAAAAATAAAAACCTATATGTATATATAACTTGAATGAGGCCTTGTTACCAATGAATCCTACTTACAAGCAGAAATTAATGCTCAAAAACAGAAACCTCTAAGATTTTCAATTCATTGTGAATACCTAATGAACAAGACAGAATCGCCAGCGAAAAGCCTCTTCCCACTAACAAATAGGCTCCATCCTGTTGTAAGCAAGTGGCGTTTTGGTTGCCCTGCATTAAGCAAAACAATGAATAACAGATGTTTAGAAATATGATCATGATGGCACCTAATTGATCCATGAATGCAAATTCCAATGGCCAAATAAAGAACATACCACGATAGATATGGCGGAAAGTCCAAACAGTATCATGCAAATCCCTGGCGACAAGTTCTTGAGCAGGTGGTTGCATGGAGAAATCCTATGTAGAAACAGGAGCACTATTAAACTTTGTAATTAGTGTGGCAAACCTTGGAAATGAGGTAAAACTGCTTACGAGAGGAGGGAAAATCTTTTCTGCTGCACGACGGGGCACCGAGAAACCTCCATGAGTGCTTGTATCACTTGCTGTCAATGTTTTACAGAAAAACTCTGGTTGGGGCTTATTTGACTTGAGGGCGAGATCTGATCTCAACAATGCATCCTTGTCAAACTGCAGACCAAGAAGTTGAGGAATTCAGTTTCCAGAAATTTTTACCATCTTTTTTTTTCATAGAAATTTTTACCATCTAAAAAACAAAGGAATTTTACTTAAAGTAACAGAAGGGTATGTCCAAAGTATTATCAGAACATAATGATTTACTAGTCATTTTGAACAGCCCTTACCGAGGAAACAGGCTGAAGTGTCATCTGAGCATAAACTTCATCCGTTTCGGGGTCCGCCTAGAACATCATACATAAGTGAGAAAATCAATTTGAAATGATCAAAAATATAATGCATTGGCAAGGTAATACTTAAAAACAGATAAAATCAGCCATACATGCAAGGTGACATTGTGAAGGAGACATAGTAGCTTGGAGGGAAGATTTGGGTAGTTTGGTATTTGACCATCCACGTCCTTTTTCATAGATGCCGCAACCTGAAATCAGAAATTTCACTCTCAAGCCAGGACATAATACAACTTCATACATATTATAACTTCAAATATCAAACTTATCCTGTATGATGATTGCTCAATGCATAAAAACTAAAACTTTAATTTCACCATCTACTTGGAAAGATGGAACGAAAAGACCCGAGGAAATTCTCCACAAAAAAAAGAAAAAACAAAGATCAATAACTAAATGTAATTACTTAAATCTAACCAAGTACTTAGCTACCACAACAATGTTGAACAAAAACAAGAAGAGTAAATATAATGGGGAGACCCACAACAACAAAAATACATAGTATTGTTTTATTTTTCCGTTAATCCTAAATTGTTCAAACCCATCAACCCCATCTGCTTTATTAGGTGAAAATTTATATCCCACCAAAAAGAAAAAAAATTACATACAAAACCATGTGTTTTCTAAAATTAACAAAGCATTGAAAAGGAAGGTCAACAACAGATTGCTATTAACAGAAGCGGCCTGCACAATAAATGAACTCAAAAATCATGATAAGCATTGATGAGTTCAGGAAAATAGAGAGTATAGAATGTTAAGGATAAGCAGAAGCGCTCAGGCGGCGCACGATAGCAACAACATTTAAACACCCACTTGTTCGCTGTGACCTTGAGGGAAGTAGACCACGTGGGTCCCAGCCGGCGGCAAGTTCACCAGCGGCCCGGCGCACGCTTGCCATAGCTCCGGGTTTATGATCTTCACATTCTCTCCCCCTGCACACGTGTCACCCGTTCATTCGTCAGAAACTCCCACAAACAATCAAAAAGGCCTCGTTTTTTCCGTTTGTTTCCCGAGAAAACGGAAACGAGAAAGAAAATAAAGGACCAACTGAAACAGAGAAGAATCTGGATTCTGGGAATCTCTTAACATAACTGCCGAGGAGCAGAGGCAGTTAGTTAGAGAGTCCCGAGTACGTACAAAAATACTTGTAACGAACAAAACGAAGTCAAAAACAGACAAAACAAAATTTCACAACAACTGTATCGATCGATCCATCCACCGATTTTCGTGTTTTTTTAGAGAGGGACAGAGACAGAGCGCAGCTCATAGATAAATATAGAGATAGAAAGTGCCGACCTTCGCATGAATTGGATGGACCGTTGGCCGCCGCAGCTCCGGCTCCGTTCGCGGGCGGCTTCATTGTTTGCTCCGGCGACTTGGGTTCTTCGAAAGACTGGATATATTGCCGGAAAATCTCACTTGCTCATCTCGCCGGAGATATATCGGCGACAAAATGGAGCTCCTTTTCTAGCTCTTCTCAGCTCCCAGACCACGCACTCAGATCAACGAACTAGATTTTCAAGTTCTCTATCAGCTGAGCTCAGATCAGCTCAGCAAAGTCTACAGCCCCCAAAAAAGATTTTAAAAAATGGAAAAGAAAAAACTTTCCCGGAAAAGGTTGCAGATTTTCCCGGGAAAGGTTATGAGCTTTCCGGCGAGGTGAAGGGGGCAAAACGGCGACGTAAAAGGAGGGAACAGAAGGGCAGAGAAAAAGGAGGGTTTGCTAAGATTAAGAGAGACCAAATGCTGAAGCTTTGCCCCCTATCTTCCCCTACAACACCCAGACATTTCCTTTCTTTCTCTCCTCTCTTTCTTCTCTCTCTTCTTCCCAATGCTCAATGCTCCCTTTTCTCTCACTCTCTCTACATCAAAATAAATAATTTTCTTTTCCTCTTTGTGTGTTTTCTTTTCTCTCTCTACCTGTCCTTGAAAATGGCAGTGACTAGGGGCTTTGGCTCTTAGCTGACCCTAGGGAGTTGGGTTTGTGGTTAGTTTTGTTTTTCTCTTGTTAACCATGGTTAATGTAGCTTAATCTTAGAACAACAGTGATGAGAAATAAGATCCAAAGTATAGTGCTAGCGATAGTTGCCCACACACAAACATAAAAGCGTTGCTCAATTAAACATGATCATATCAATTGCTATTCAGAATATTGAGATTTGTTTCAAAATTATGCTAGATCAACTTAATATTCTTTTTCTTATGCCTACACTAGCTGGATTTTACATGCTATCAAAAGAGTTGAGAAAGAAAAAAAGTTAGTAATGGTAAGAAATTTTGCTTTGTTTTGATTGTTTTTTTCAAAGCAATTGTTGATCTTACAATTGTTCTAGTTTATTATAAAATTACCCTTTTGTCCCTTTAGCAATATCAACTAACCCACCACAAGCAAACTAACACATGATTATTTGTTATTGTCTAATATTTCCAAATATGATTATGTGTTGTTGACCATTTTGTTGACCGTCACCATCGCCATCCATTGTGCAGCACATGATGAAAGTTATTTGTATATTGGTTCTTTGTGTTTCCTTGTTCTTTTCATCTCCAACATGATGTTTTTAGTGGTGTTTTTTGTGTGTTAAATTTCTCATCTAATAAATAATTTTTTTTATTGTTTTAAAAACCTAGAAAATGAAAATAAAAACAAAACTCATTTATATGATTTATTAATTTGTATTTAATGTTTTATGACAAATATGGATAAATTGCATATGTAAAAGTTAATGTCAAGTTAAGTCTAACGATACAAAGGTAGTTGCCTCTCGAGGCAAAAAACTCAAATCCGTACGAAAATAGGGCAAGTGGTTGTTGTGGTTCGGAAATCATTGAAGCTTTGCTTTAATGCCATAATAGTGAATCACAAGACTCACGTCACTAATTAATGGCATGCTTGCACTAATTAATGGCATCACCATCTATTTTCCATCTTTAACCTTTCGGTTAATAATTAATAAGCAAATCTTGCAAATTGAATGAGTAAAAGTTTACGAGGAAAAGTTTACTAATCGAGTCAAAATACGAGGATGTAAACTACGTGTACATTCATAGTTTAAGATAATGCCCTAAATAATATCATAGATACCTCAAATCACTTAATACTATGTATTCAAAATAAAGTGCACTTTGCGAGTTTCGACATATGTAATTTTGACTATAAATGATGGGAGTTCTTTTATTTGTTTATATCTACACCATTTATGAACTTCATTTGTTTATAACACACAAAATACTAGTATCTAACATGCTATATTATTATTTTTTAATACAAGTGAGTGATAGTCTAAACTATAAGGGGACACACACACACACACACAATCAAGTTGTTATGGGAATTCGAATCTGAGACTAATGGTCTACAAGTCAAGGCCTTTTTTCACTAGGCAAGACCATGTTTGCGTTTTACTTTCTTTTTATTCAATGAGAGAGTATAAATCCAACAAAGGATTTTTTTAATTTTAAGAAGAAAAATAATAATTAAATTAGTTGAAGAATTAGAATAATTCTAATTGTTGCATTTCAAGCCCTAAAACGTGAACACTTTCCTTCTTGTGAGTATCTTCTATTGTTCTACCAACCCAACGTTTTATTGACCAAAAATGAAAAATCTTCTTGTGATGGAATTGTATTAGGCGTTGTGGGTTGACAATTGACATGATGAGCAAGTCCCTAATTAGTAAAAAGGACCCAAAAAAAAGTGGGTTCTTTGTGTTCAAAGGGCAACAATAATTACGATAAAGAAAAATTAATACATAGAGCAAGAGGGGCAAATGGGTCATTGCAGACCACCACTATAGCCTATAGGGGTAATAATAAGACCCTTGTAGACTCTCGAATGGCTCCTCTATTATTGGCTCTGAGATCCAAGGCTTGCCTGATGATGACCGGCCTCATAATCTTGCACATGCAAAATTGCACACTGAATGGTCGCCTCATTTAATTATAAGCTAACAAATCATGATTAGAGTCTGAATAAGTGGAAATTAAGAAACTTTACTTTTGCTTTGCTTGCTTGTTAATTGTTACTTTACTACTTGTTTACAAACCTTTTACTTGTCCTTAATAACCACTCCATGACATAGCAAGTAATGCCAGCTGCTGCTGCACTAGGGTTTTTTGGTAGGAGAAATTCTCGTGTGTTTGTAAGTTGGTTTGAACTCGAGAATCTCTTTTCATATATGACTTTCTTGAATTTTCTGTTTTTAACCTTTTTCAAAATTTGCATTTTTTACCAACTGGTTACTGGTTACTAGTGAATTAAAAATAATTGAAATTTATAGGGGAGGCTAAAAATTGTTTCCTGCCTTTCAAGCTTCATTGGTCTTTTTCATAGACCCAAGACTTTCATAGTTTAACCAGTGATCTTTCTTTTTCATGCTTACGCTTTTCTCTTTGTATATATCCATATACATGTAATTTTTAATATGAGTGTAAATAGATAGAAGATGAGTGTGAAAATCAGCTTCCATAAATAAATATGAAAATTGTATATAACTTTAGATCCCATAAAATTCAATAAATAATTTATACATCAAAGTTTATAAAACTAAGGAGTCTTCAAGTGATAACTACATCAGTTGAATTAATTATAAGATTTTTTTTTTCCTTGTAGTAGCTTGGTTACTACAATATTATTATAACTCGTGTTGTTCTAAGCAAAGTTATGGCATTTATAAGGATGAGGTAAGGCTTAAAACCCCATTTCTTTTGGTTGAAAAAAGAAAGAGTAAAACATGTAGAATAGCTAGGGTCACACCATATTTGATAGTGACTTTATGAGTATTAAATAATTCATTCTTACACGTAAATTATAATTTAACGTATGAACAACTGAATAATTCATTCTTACACGTAAATTATAATTTAACGTATGAACAACTGAATGAGAAAAATGAAAGTGAATACTTTTCAACTTTATGATTTTCTTGTAAAAAATAATATATGTAACACATTAAATGACATATATGATATGGGCAAACGGATAAAAGCTCATCTCTCCTTTAAAATAAAAATAAAAAATACAAGCGATAGTCTAAACTATAAGCGAGAGCGGTTTCTCTCTCTCTCTCTCTCTCTCTCTCTCTCTCTCCTCTCTCTCTCTCTCTCTCTCTCTCTCTCTCTCTCTCTCTCATACACACACACACTATCAAAGTGTCGTGGGTGTTTTTACTTGAGACTATTAATCTACAAATCAATGTCATTTCCCTTCTAAACTAGAAGGAATAATTACGAACAAAGATATTGCGTTGAGTTTATTGTTGTGATTTGCTCCTATTTTGTAAAGGAAAAAATGGAGCATTTCAATGGCTTTATATTAGAAAGGGAATACATAGGCTGTAATCCCACTTCCAAGCATCGATGGGAAATTGAGGTCATCGTCTTCCCAATTCATAGCTTGTTCAAAATTCGTTATGATCTTTTGTTTCCCAGCTCTTTTTAACCCTCAATCTTAGAATCTATACGATTTATTTTGTCAGAGAAAAAGGGAGGTATTTTTTTTTTTTTTTATCTAGAACTTTTACTGTTGACACTGATAAATGTTGAGATGTGAACTCATTCTCTTCCAAATGACTTGGCCATTTTTTCTTGTCCCCTACTATCCTATATAATTGCATCACAATTTTATTCGCTTTTGTACTTGTGGGTTTTACCTATAGCTATTTTTTATAGGTCATTTTTTAGAGTCGATAGGATATTTCCGGACAAGTTATTTGTAAAGTCACTTTTTTTTTTTATGCTTTAAATTTAGGGAGTTTCACTAAAATACCCAAAATGGGGGCTGAAATTATAAAAAAAACTCAATACCCAAAACACTTTATAAACACTTTATAATAAAGTTCTAATCTCATTTGATCACTTTCACACCGTACTCAAGTTTCTATTAATAAAATACCTCAAAGAAATTTATTTTTTATTTTTATACAAGCGATATTAGAGACTGGGAAATCGAAAGTATGAATAAATGCTCTTAATCACTTGAATTACAAAACCTTTGTAAAAACAAAAGTTTATATTAATAACTTAAATGAATAGTTATTTGTTTAATGATTTAGTTTTGGTACATCATAGTTATTTAATCCCATAAGCAAATGCCATTGGTGTCACGGTGTGGATCTACGGACCGTGTTTTCTGGGAGAGGTGGGTGGTGGTAGGGCCTGCTGGTTTGGCTATCATCAACTGTAAGCTGGTAAGCTGGCTTGGCACAATCGACGGCCAATAATAATTTTCCTACAAGTCATTATTGTGAGGAAAATTAATAAAATCTTCACTTTGATTTAAACTAAGGCCAAATTCAGTATCATAATATTTGAGATAATCTAGGTTGGTTCAAATTGAATTAGTTATTAACAAGTGAGACT